CACACGAATCAGAAAATGTAGCTGGCTCTGACTCTGTTGGTAACACGTTTACATTTTCTATACCTTCACTTGAAGATGGATTATTTTCGTCACTTGTTTTCAACTTTTTTAAAAAAAAGTTTATTTCACTTTGTCGTTTTTGTGACATTTTAAAACAGAATAATTGAACACGAAACTACAAACGAAAACACTACGGACAACAGCAGTACAGGCGAGTACAGCACGAAATACGAATCACACACGAGTGACACGACTTCTGTAAAATTACTAACATTTTAAAACAATAATAGCAATATAGAAATGGATTAGTGAGAATCGTCTTACAAATAAAATAAGATAAGATAGCGATGGCCAGTAGGAACGATACATGGCAAAAATAGCCGGTCTGCCGTCTGCGTTAAGGCGAAATGCCTTTATACCCGCATAATAAAAGTAATAGTAATATGTTTGGGAGAATTTCTTATATAATGATAATATAATAATAATATAATAATAATATAAAATATATGTAATGATAATATTTCTTAAATTATAATATAATGTGTTTGAGCGAAACAATATAAAAGATAAAATTATAAAAATTAATAATAAAAAATAATAAAACCTAACTTATGCCAATAAAGGGGGGGGGGGCGAGGCCCTTCGGGCCCCCCCCTTAAATCCACCACTGAATACTCACAAATGAAATGATACGTTGCCTGTATTATCTTTAGAGGATACATGACAAACAATGCAAGTACGAACCATAGCTTGAAGACAAATGATAATTCGTACAGAATCATGAATACTTCAATTTGTAAAAATGTTAAATAATTTTTAAATAAAATGCGTTAACAATAAAAATATTTGTTATCATCATAGATATCTTCTATTATCATTATGAAATAAAACTAATGATAAAACCCCTTGCTAAAGTGAGTGCACTATATAAAAGCAGTCTATCTCTCATCCACATTCCGGACCGCGACCCCTTGTATTGTTAATATATGATTGGCCTATCCATTCTTCTATTATCTATGTATGAGAGGAACAGCCCGCTCAAGGTACAGATTATATGAAAATTTTGATATAATCTGTGCTCAAGGTTTATAAATTATAATATATAAGCCTTGCTGCGCGCCTTACAGTCAGTTTTCCAAGCTGTAATGGGTAGACCTTATATCACAGATAATGTATCTATATTGCAAATGAGACAATAGATATAAAAAAATCAGGAATTATGTTTATGAATAAGACGCTCATATTTTTTCAGTTATATTGTGCCATCTATCGGTTTGAAAGTAAATCATCTGTTATGTTATTGTACTTAAGTGTATACCTTGATACACTTTGTATTGTACTCTAGTGTGATTACAGCTGTTTTAGCTTGTTTAACATATTTGATTATAACAGTTTTTATCGGTTGTTGCAGAGAAGCAACGTTTTACACTATGTTTTGTGAGGGTTAAATTATGTCTTACAGCCAAAGGTTTTCAATTGATGATGCTTTTGAAGAGGAACTGATGGATGATATAAAAGTTTATGGGTCCAGTTTAGGGAATTCTCCATTACAATCACCAGGCCAATCCAAACTAACAAAATATGGTGGTACTGGTCATGAATCAGTTACAAGAACAAAAAAATTTGAAGAAGTAAGTATTCAAATTGACTTCAATGCCATTCAAAAGTGCATTACTTGTAATTTAATCTAATATGTAATTGGTCTTTAGACACAGTCTCGAGACAGTGATTCATTAATTTATAATTCAACGGCATATTCTAATAATAAGAACTGGTGTTGGCACCATCCTCAAGTACGAGAAAACTGGCGTGTTGTTCTAGCTGCGGTATTTTTGCTTATTATTGGAACTGGTAATTATTTGTAAATAAATAGTTTATATGTTTGAAAATATTAATATTTGATTTATATTTTCAGCTTTATTATCTTTGGCTATAATTGTGCAATTGACTCCTAATACTGACTATCATCCAATAGTGTTTTTCATTGCTGGTTTCATTTGTTTCATACCTGGAGCATATCATGTTATATACATTTATTTAGCTGCTAGAGGATATCCAGGTTACAGTTTTTATAACTTGTCTTTATTTAACTAATTGTGAAAAATTGATAAAAAATAAATGTAATTTATAATCAGTGAATACTGGCCACTTATACTTATATATGTGACAAATGTTGAATTAGTATTATTATTGCATAAGCAATTTTATAATTGGTGGCACAGATATGAATAGCTTTATGACTCTTTTACCTGAAATCATAATTATGTCATTTTATTTTCTTATGGTTATTGAAAAGTTACAAATTATGCTTTAAAAATTTTTAAACGGAATTTATACTAACTTGTTGCACCATTTATTTTCATACATATTCATATCAGTAGATCTTATGAATCCATCAGAATTGTATTAGGTAATGATTTGTTTATTTTTTTTATTTGTAAAAATACCAAGCATGATGAAAATATAAAATATTATTTCCATAAATTAACCTACATTATTTTTCATTGTTTATCAAGCTAGTATTTTAAAAGAAAAATGTATTAAGTAAACAACCTTGAAATTTAAGTTTAAAGATTAGTTTAATTTTTAATCTAAAATATACCATAAAAATGTATTTTATTTTTTCTTCATTATATCTATGTAAAATAAAAAATTATTTTGAATAGTATCACAATATTTAAATATCCATCAACACTGACAATTAGTAGTATATACAGTAAATATAAATAAGATGAGGAAGTACATTACATATGATGTCATAACATAATTTTTTATTTCTCATTATAACTAGTGAATAGTAGTTATGAAATATGTGATTGTCCTTGTATAATTTTTTTTTATTGTAATTAAATAAAATGTATAAAAAGACTTTAGTAAGGGATTTACTTATACTTATATTACTTACTTATATTTACTATTTTATATTTTATCCACGCGTGTACACAATTTCTATTTGTTTGGACTCAATAATATGATCTCAAAATATCTTTTATAATTTTAATTAATTATATAAAAATAATCAAAGTATATAATTATGCGGTAATTTTTAATTTTATTTAAAATATTAATCAAACAAAGGTTGTGATTAACTGTTTAAAAAATTTAATATATAAATAACTTATAAGCATTAATTTTAATTTATTAAACCTCACAAAAATTTTTATTTAAAAATTAAATAAATAAAGATGAAATCAAACAATATAAAATATATGAAAATGTAACATTTATTATATTAGGTATATAAATTATTAGCTTAAAGATAGCAATTTTTGTTATGGTCAAAAATTAATTAAAATCATTCTATATTATATAATTTAAATACTTACTGCTTTTACATAGAAATCGAACAATTAATATATATTTAAAATTAATATACATTTTCAAAATAATTTGTATGTGGTTTTATGTTATTATTACTAGTTATTTTCTAATTACAAAATAAGTAATAAATAGCATGGATTAAATTAATTTAGATTACAATAATAATTAAAAAATTACATTTTTTATGCTAAGATAACATTATCTATAATCTAATTTATATTTGTCTTAAGATAAATACAATTTATGACATTTATTTTATTATTTAAAAATAAAAAAATACAGAACTAAATTATAGATTATTTTTTCTCTGTGTCATATGAGTAATTGATTCTTCGATATTTAGACTAGTTTGTTAAGTTTTAAACTATGTAAAAAGAGTTTTTTATTGAAAGTAATAAGTTGATCTTTTAGTTATAATATTAGTAAATAAGTTTTATTATTTAATTCAGTGAATACTATTAATTGAATACTACAATTAAAACCTTAGTTGATAGTAATTATTATGATATGACTACTAATATTACTAATACTTTTGACTTTTCTGTGTAATTTATAAATGAATGTGCAATAAAAATTATAATTGATTATTTTATTTTTTAGAAAATAATGAAAGCTATGGAATGTTGTAACTATTATCAAAAATAATCTTAAAATAGGTACTAGTCAAGTACTAGTCTTAAAAATGTATTTAAATAATGCCCTAATTCTTTTAAAATATTTAATGTATTATAAAAAAATGAGCTTTTGTTGTATAATTATCTGTTAAGCATCCAGTATCCTTTAGTATTTTATAATAGTTTAAAATGTATGTTGTAACCAATAAAATACATTTTATATTTAAAGTAACTTTTTGATTATGTTATTTATGTCTTGTTATCAATCATTTTATTCAGAGTGATAATTGTATTGTAATTTTTTAGGAATATTTGATCAAAGCTAAAGTATACAAAAAAATTGAGTTCAAAGTATATTATTGAGTACTCATGAACTAAATTATTTTTAAATAGTATTCAATATTTCGAAAATAATTTAAATATCAGTTTCTAAGTTGTTACAACACCGAAACTAATGTTCTAATTTTACAATTTATTTAAATTATTTTAGTTCCCATGATTTTTGTATGATTATATTTTGTTTTTTCAATCTCTTAATTTTTATACATGTATGAACCTACTATAGATTATTAAATCATAAAACACATTATTAATATTTTTATTATGTTATAGTGTATAAAAATTATAAAATTGTAGTTTCCTTATTAATTTTTAATTGTAAAATGCTGGTAAATCATTTTATTGTATCATGTTTTATGGTGTTTTGTGAAAATATTTATATAATTATTTGATACTCTCTAAAATTATTTATAACATTTGAATTAATTTATAATTTATTAAAAAAAAATATATAAAAATAAAATTAATGTGCTTTTTTTTTAATATTTTTATTCTTTATCCATAATATATATATATAATAAATAAAACAGTAAGATTTTAATTTAAATAATAATTAAAATATCAGTTACTGTACTTTGTGATTGGACAAGAACAAAAATTAATAAAGAAATTGTGTTTTTAGTGATTGTCATAAGGCTTAAGCCATAAGTGTGTGTATTATCATTATTATAGCTTTGATAATAATAGTATACAATCATCATTTATTTAGTAGCTATAATCTATATTTCATGTGATACTTGATACCAGGGACTAGAACCTATTGGATTTTTTTGTTCTGGCTTAGATTATTAAATTAATTTTTTTAAGTGTTTCAATTTTATAAAACAGAATGAGAGTTCAAACATTAAAACTGTTAATACCAGTTCTAAAAAATACCTATTAATAGAAATGAAGCTTATACTATTATAGGCAGTGATACATTTTTTGAGAGTTAACTAGCCACAAGTGTTTTAATGTAATTACTAATTAATAGTCTATTTTAAAACTTTGAAATAACATTTTTACATAAGCTAAATTTAAATTATTTTTTATATTCTGTGTAAAGTGTTAATTTATTTTTTTTACATTGTTTGGGAGCACTACTGTAGTCCACTGTTTTAGTTGGGTATATTGTAGCGTTTTTACTAATTGACAGTATTTAGTAAGAATAAAACATTTAAACAAAAAATCCTCATTCACTACACTCAGAATTTAAAATATTTACATATCATACAAATTTATAGTTAGTTAAAGTTGAAAAAAATATAATATATATTTATAGTACCAGAATTTTATGAACTCATATACTCGATGATAAATTTTTAATTTGAAATTGATCAGACATTACACATAATAATTAAGTTGCTTTTGGAATACTTTTTTATACGTTTGCAGTGTGGTTATTTCTTATTTACGTTTTTACGTCTGACTGAAGAACCGTTAAAAAAATGCTTAAAATGTTATGCTGTGATCAGATGCTGGTGCGTGAGTAAAAATTTTTTTTTTTTAAATGTAATAGGTTTAAAATGTATACAAATAAATTACTATTAAATTCATCACAACTTCTTTCTGATTGTTATAGTACGTTTTATCTAAACATAAAAAAAATGTTAAAATGTCGGTTACTCATTCAGTGTCAACAGTTCCGGCGCTATAATTTGCGAGGCCCTTTGCAAATATCATGTCATATCAGTAGATTCAGATAAAGTTAGGATTAATTTGGATCATTATCAAAAAGGATGGACTTGTTCTAAAATACATTATTTATTTTTATAAAACCAATTTTTAAATCATAATTTCGGTTTTCATAATTATATCTATTTAACATTATTAATATTTTATTATTATAAATTACTTAAACTATTCTAAAATTTAAGTAATATATAAAAGTTTAACTTAATTATGTATTAATATTAAGCAGAGCCGTAAAAAGCTCTACTAGTGTCCGAGGGAAGTATGAGTACTATATTTAGTATATTAGGCATATGCGCCTATTCATAGAAAAAAAATTGATAATAATTTTGAAAATTTCGAACTATTGTTTATCAGAGGAATATGTATTATTAAGTAGGTATTTATTTTAAAATAAATTTTTATTGAAACAAAATAAAGTATTACTCCAACCAATATGCACGGATAGCAAAACTTTATAAGAAGATGCATCTCGTCAATAAAGTGGTTATAAGTTCAATTTGTTGTAGATGAGGGCATTATTTACACATTTTATGATGAACCTATTACAATTACTAAAGTATAAACAAAAGCCAAAATCAGAGGAGTATTCGCACTATTAGCTTTAATATTTAAATTTTATAAGTCCAGTAAAATTTATCTAAAACACAGAATCACTTGAGATTAAAAATTTTTTCGTTAAAGAGAGAATGAAAAAAATTGAAGTTTCAAAAATCTAGTTATGTACTAAAAAATTTAAACTCCATTTTAAGAGTGACATGCAGCATTATTTAAGAATAAAGGGCATATAAATTGCCTGTTAAAATAACGAAACCGTTAAACCATAACTTAAGTATTTTTCTAATTTTAAATATTTAAATTTCTATATAGTAGATTTTCTGCATTCAAGTGATTAATTTTACTTAATATTTTAACTGGGACTCCGAGAGGTTTTACTGTACTATACAATACCTCATTGGAGTTCCATTTTGCATAAAATGTCCGGCGCTTCTTTCCATTTCATCCAACCGCTCTTAATCCAATGTTTTTCATCCATCCATGCCAAAACCTCCGTCCCTTTTACATAAATGATTCTAAATATTTAAAATTCTCGACTTTACCTATCACATCACTTATTGTCATTGTTCTCCGCATTCCCTCAACTTCTTGGTATCTTCATCCAGTAATATTCTACTTCTCTACTAGTTGTTTAACACAAAAAAAAATGGGTCCATTGTCGATTTTCCTGGTGTAAAACCAAACTGATTTTCCGATTTTGATATCTCACTTCCAGTGGTGTATTTAAGAATTGTTCATGAACGGAGGGGGGGGGGTCCAGCTAATTTTCCATACACATTTAAGTGGAGTACTCCACCCCTCAGTGGCGTATTTATGGGGGAGTCCAGGGGTACTAAAGTATAATAGTTTTTAATCTATTAAAAACTATTATAGGTACTTAATATTATATATTATTATTGCTATTATCTTTATATCAGTATCTATCTATATTATGTCGGAATTATTGGACCCCCCTCCCCAGAAAAAAATTGAAAACACGCTACCGCCACCTTATCTTCCTCAGCATGACACTTAAATATAAATTCAATTTATTACAATGCATTAACATAAAACCATTTTGATATTTATACTTATTTATTTTTGAACATATGAAACCACATTTATAAAAAAAATCCAATTTTCTAGAATTTTTTCTAGAAAAATTTCTAATTCATTAATGATTTCATCAGCACCTAAATTTATGTCCCGATGAATAGACATCGTCATTAGTCCATTTAGTCTCGTCTACCTTATAGTATATTTAAAAATACAGTTATAAGATATATTTTTATACATTAAATATTTTCAAAATAATTAAAAGATTATTTTATTCATTTTTCAACTGAGATATATTTACAGCTTTGTCAAAGTTGAAAAAGATCTTTGTGTTATTGACAGTGGTAATGTGCAAAATAATTTTATTAAAAAATGTTTACCAGGAAAATCAATTTTGGGGAAATTTAAAAGCGCTTTTAATCCAATTTTGACGATAATATCTTGACTGGTTATTTTATATGATACGGAAAATATGGAACACTGGGCAAAAGTGGCGTCGAAATTCTAAAATATTACTCAGGTCAAATAAAAATACAACGGTCTCAAGCACCTCAGCGGCCACTAGCCTACATTTTTACTTTGCATAGAAAAATAATTTGTCTTCTCATATCACTAGGATTAGGTATGATTCATACTATAATAGTATTTATAAAGAACAATAATAAGGAAAATAATTAATATTTATTTTCGTCAAATTCTTTGTTTTTAGTAGTTCGTCCTTTTTCAATGACACTCGAGAGACTTTCTTGAAAAATAGTAAGGTTTTGTTTTGATTGTTTTATTTATATATTAATTTACAAGTATTAACCATTTAATTTTTTAATTTTTTATTATTTTATTGTTATAGATTCCCCAACACAAACAACTTTAGTACAAATACCTTCTAGTGTGGCAAAACAATTGAAATAAAAACTTACTATTTTCAAGAAAATCTTTTGAGTGTCATAGAAAAAGGACAAACTACTAAAAACAAAGAATTTGACGAAAGTAAATATTTTTTATTTTCCTTGTTGTCCTTTATAAATACTATTATAGAATGAATCATGCTTAATACTTATAACTTGAGAGGACAAATTATTTTTCTATACAAAGTAAAAATATAGGCTTGTGACCGCTGGGGTACTTGAGGTCGTTATATTTTTATTTGGCCTGAGTAAAATTTTAGAAGTTCGACGCCACTTTGGCCCAGTGTTCCATATTGTCCGTAGCATACACAAACCAACTGTCGAAGGTATTCACACAAAATATTTAATTTTTTCCATACTTCGATTGATTACGCACAAAAGTAATTATTTTTGATAATACTCTGAAATAAAATAAATTTTATTAAATGTCATGAAGTTAAGTAATTCAAAATTGACGTTTAAGAATGGAAATAAATGTTTCACTGAAATTAACTAATTTTCGGGGAAAAAAAAACGATTGTTTGGTTAAAAGAAAATAATATGAAAAACAAAATTTGTTTTAAAACTCAAGGTATCTTTTTAACTACAATCCATATATTCTGTAGACATTAAAATATAAAATACAATTTTTTATGTCCTAACATATAATTACACTGAGAGGCTTCTACGCTCTGTCATTTTACACTGTCACTTTTATTTTTAATTATTTTTCTTTTTTTTTTTTCTTTACTTTACTCTCATATAATGTCCTCAATTGTTCTTATTGTTCACTTTGAACAAATTGAATAAAAAAATTTATAAACAAAAAAAAAAAAAATATGTCCTAACTCGATAACAATTTATAAAAGGATTTTATATTTTAACGAGACTGCTTTTGTTGAAAACTACATTAATATGTGTGATTTTTTATGGTTTAGAAGAAGTTTACACGTACTTAATCTGGTAATTACTTACCACGCCGGAGAAGGTTAAATTATTATTTTATAGTTTCCACCGACTTCCTGATGGGGCATTATAAACCTGACCTTTTGGAATACCAGTAGCATTTTGCTGTTTATTATTTTCGTAAAGGTTACTGATCTTCTTATCTTGTTGTTTTTGGTTGTACATATGAAGCAGTGGACTATAGTCAGGAGTGTTGCTCTAAAACAAATACGGTCATTATGTGACAGTGCTCGGTACTTGATTACAAAATTATTGTATTTCAAGTACTTTATTTGAACTACACGATGACGTTACGACAGGCGTTTTAGTTTTCGTTGCCTTCGTTACATTTTGATTTTTTAACCCGACATTAAAGACTTTTATAACTGGGATTTTCGATTTTGCATCACCAGAAGGCCCTGCTTTAGAAACTTTTGCAAGTTTTTTATCTACACTCCTTGGTTTGTTGTTCACTGTCGGTCGTATCTTTAACCCATCAATACGACTCGATAGCTTGGTAACTTTTTCACGTTCAATATTATATTTTTTGCTGTGCGCGATAAAAACAATTCGATAATATTAATGTATATATCATACTCGTTTTTATATTTTATACTTAAGTGTTTCCATACGGCCACACGCATTAGTTTCTTCTAACTCCAGCAACGTTTTCTGATCTTTTAATTGTTTTTTCACATCTTTGAAATTATTTCGTTCGTGTTTGATCTCTTCGTTTTTTGTTCTTATATAAGTTCTAAATCCTTCTTTAAGATCTGAAATTTGGTTCTCTATAACAATATATTAATACTTGCATTTTAATTTGTTTTGTTCATCTGAAAATGATGGCACTTATAAAACAAATATTTCACCTTTTATCTTCATATTAGACTTGTAGATTTGTTGCTGGTACTCTTTTTCTTTGCGCGCCTCTATGTCTATTTTAGTTATTATTTTTTCGTATCGTTGTGCTTTACTTATGTACGCTTTTTCCAATTCATTGAGCTTATTTTGCAGCTTTTTTATTTTTTCATCTTTTTCACACTTTGGAATATTGTCGTCATCATCTGAGGAATAACCGTCCATTTTGAGTTTATTTTGATGTTGAATCGTTGTTCCGAGTGCCATGTCAAACATACTACAAACACTCGTACCACAACCACATTGCTCTGATAAAAGGTGACCGAAATTTGGATACGACTTCGTCTCGTCAATAGTTTTAATACTTGGCCTCAGAATATTTTCTATGCTTAGGTCCAATGCTGTGTTTTGCCTTTTTAATCTATTCAGGTTTTTAGCCATGATCACGATATCAGCTGCTGCATCTTGTCCCTGTTCTTCAATACGCTGCAGGTGTAGGTAGTTTCGGTCCGATTCGTGTTCTAAATCATTGATTTTATCTTTCGAATTCTCTTTTGACTTTTCTTTCGATAAAAAATATTCACTTTTTAAATCTCTTAACGATTTGTAAAGATTGTCTATATCGTGTGTTAATGACTCGTTTTTTTCCATCAAACATTTCTTCTCGTAATTTTTTTTTTTAACAATTTCTTGTGAACAACCTAACTCCGATTTGGTATTCTCAAGCTCGGTTTTCAAAACGTTCAATTCATCTTTTATTCTGTCGATTGTTTTATTTAAAATTCGTTCTGATGTATATTTGATCTCCTGGAGCTCAGCGATTTTCTTTTCACTCCACATACTTTGACGTAAGAGATCTTCTATCGTAACTTTTAAAGTGTCTAATTGAAGCGAAAGATCCACTTCTGTACTGCTATTTCTCGGCTTTAAGCCAGTAACATGTTCACAGTGATTATGCATCGTACCCGAAAAGTTAACGACTTCTGATTTCAATACAGAGATCTCCGAAGCTGTAATTTTGGACTTTTCTTTTTCAGCCTCAATCTGTATGCAGTAGTTATGTAACTCATCTGTCTGCTGTTTTATTGCAACCTTATGCGATTCGATTAAATCTGTATGACCGCAACCATCGAACTTTAATATTAAATTGATTTCAGAACCAAGAAAATGGATATTGCTTGATACATTTCCTGAATCAATACTTTTAAAATTGCTGAGTGTACCTCTCAACATATTTTCTCCCTTTTCAGTAACTGCAGGTGGTCCGTTCTATAAATTAAATGTTTTTATTTTTATGATTGACGAAAATTACTAAAAATGTAAAAAAAATATTGATACATAATATACCTTAATATACTTATTATTAAATATCTTATAAAAATTGTCCGGTCACTTACATTTTTATGTCTATCTACAGTCTGAGAGTCTACATTATATATGTACACATTTGACAGTGCTCCAAAATCTTTTTTTATTTTCCTGTAAGCATCTGAATTATTTTCCTCGACATCAATATTGTTTGCCTTCCAGTCATTGAACAAATAGTTCTTAATCGAATTAATTTTTTCGAGAAATTCATTGATCTCGCTGAAAGTATTTAATTACAAATAAGATGATGATAATGACACGTAGAGTAGGTAAAATATAGTTAGTTTATCATCAAATTATTCATAAGACGAAAATAAATTACCTCACGGTTGGTTGGTTATTGAAATACATATTTTTAAAATCTTAGTTAAAATGTATAAACGACGAAAAAATGTTTGAAATAGTCAAATGATTTCAACGGTTTAGTCACTGCAGTGATACTATGGTATCGTATAACGAATCGTTCTCACGGTTACGATTTTTGTTCAAACGATTTTATTATATATTAACAACTATTCGTTTTGTATAGCCAACAGATAAAAATACAGTATATTACTTGATGATTCTAGTTTACAGACATCACGTTCTATTTTCGAGTTCACGAAATAATATATTTCAGTGTTCTATTACGATAGCAAGACGATGGCAGTTGGCATTTTATTGTAATTTAGATATTGTTATATATTTACATTTAAGATAAAGAATATATATAGAAATATGTAAACAACGGATATGATACAATAATTGTCATTGTATAAATTATTGATACATACATTAGATTTTATTCAATGGCGTTTCTAGGTTTTTTAAATTAGACATTAAAAAAAAACTTAATACATATTAAAAAATTTTATAACTAGGTATACAAAAAAAAAAAGTATTTATATTCAAATTCCATTTAATTTTCTTTGATCAATAAAAAACGTATTTAATTCGTTTTCGGTCGCTTCCGAGAAGTGTGAACCAGTGTATAGGGCATGTGTTCGGTACCTAGTAATCAGCACGGGCCGTTTTTTTTCGACCCGATCCGGCCCAAAATTTAAACTTATAAATTGCCGTCGTCCAGGCCCGGTCTATATTTTATTTTTTTTAAGTCTAGTCCGACCAGGCCCGTTTGTAAATAAAAATATACATCAACTGTATTTCTTTTCAGTATTGACTTAGCAGACAAAAACATTTTATAAAGACAATAAATGTATTACAAAAAAAAAAAATATGCTAAATTTTATTAATTTATCAATTTTACTTATTATTTAAATGTAAAATTATTTATAGATATAGAATACATAATGCTACAAATTAAATTAATTAGTTTTGGTTTGACAGACCCGGCCCAATGAATAATATTACGATCCCACCTATAACCAACCTGTAATATTAAAATTATGGCCCGTCCCGGACCAAGCCCGATGTGAGTCGGGCCGGGTCGGGCTAGCCCGGCCCGTACTGATTTCTAGTACCTACTTAGTAGAGACCAAAACCCCCCTCGACACGAATCGGTGTCATCCGATTCCTATTGTGGTCAAAGGTTCACAAAAGCAATCGGTCGTTTAAACATTTACGGTTTACTTTCAGTTCGGTAATGGTTTTAGTAAGGAAAAATATTATTAGTTAAAATTTTTAAATTTTATTGTTTATCGTGAGTAATTCACTTGATATTAATAATGATCCAGTGGCTAATAGGTATTTTGTTGACCGTTGATATTTGATGTAAATTTTGTTTTTATTTTAAAATTTTTTTGTTTCTGTTTCTGTCGTTTATTTTGATTATCATCGTAGACCGTAGTCCCGGAAATTCGTGAAGTGGATTACAGACAGGCGGTCGCGGTGGCGCTACAACGTGATAACAGAATACCTACCCACACTAACGTTTATTTACTTCTCACACATTGACACAGCTCAAATAGATATACTATACAAAATGCCTATATATTAGTCCTTAATACATATAATGCTCCAGCCCCCTTTAATACATGGGTCCTCCCGGTCAAGGTTTAGCGCCTCCATTATATTGGTGCCTGACGCAAATGCCTCAATCGTTTCACCATTATTATGGCCGTTATTGTGTAAAGGAAAATAGAAATGCGTCGCAAACAAGGTAGTAGGTGAGTTGAACTGTTCACATCTAGTAGTGTGAAAATGCGTTATTAACGGTTGTGAATTTCTTATTGTGAAGTTCGGGCCAAAAAGGTTACCCTCTATTAAATCAAGATTTACGAAATTTTACATAACAGTCTTGAAAAATTTGTGATCCAAGATCGTTATTTAAATAAACAAATACATGATAAGCCGTAATTAATATTAACATTTTTCTTCCATGACAATATATATTAAATCGGTATTTTTTTTCATAACTGAAACGCATATGGTCACACTGCGGGTGTACTGTGTTGTGGATTGGCTGGTCAACAGCAGCAGGACGCGAGGGCTAATTCGCGTTCGCTGACGTTCGCGCGCTGTCTCATTGGTGACCACGATTTCGGCCAATCATCGGAAATATTCTTCGGACCAATATCCATTTATCCAATGTAAGTTCGCTTTTTAAATATTCGCATAGGACTTGGTCACCGGCGCGTATTTGTCCTCTTCTGCTGGCGGATCTTTTCCTGCTGACCTCGACCATGACTTCCTCGTGTGACTTGTTTCGGTTATATTACGACGAAATTAAGTTTTCATGGTTTTTTTCCCTTACTTTTGGAACGCGCACTCCAATTACCCCCTGACCTCTGGGTGACAAGTCTGGTTGCGTACCTGATAACGTCTTATAATTGTTATATAGTTGATAATAATGATTGTACCTTTTGCGTCAGAATCGATATATGGATCAGCAGATCAGTTCAGACGGTAGTGGTGGTGGCGGTCATATGACCGTCGTCCAAACAATCCCGCCGTCTAACAATCAGGTACAGGTCGTACAAGCCGGTCAAGTGATACAGAGCGCCAACGGTCAACAAATTGTTGTTCATGCCGTTCCTCAAAATTCGGGACAACAAGTGCACTTGGGTTCGCAGGGCAATCAACAATTGCAGCTACTCCAGTTACCTGTGCAGGTATGCATTTTTCATCTGATTGTGTTTTTAAAGTGTTAACAATAGTTGTTATTTCTGCACAGCAGCAGGCACAAGCACAGTTAATCCAAACGCCTGATGGCCAGACTTTTATCTACCAACCAGTCCAGGTGGATAATTCTCAAACAATTGCTCAGCAGCAACAAACTCAACCTACATGTAAGTTTGAATTTAAGAATTTTTTAGTATGTGCTGTGCTGTCTTATATTGTTTGTATTATTTTAGTGATTAGCATAAATGGAAACATTATGCAACTATCCAGTCCGCCTGCTAATAATTCTCCTACAGTTACTCAAACAGCTACTACTGTTTCACAAGGAGTTCCTCAAAACCAACAAAATATTGTAATGGTAAGATATATTATTATTATTATCAGTGCCGTATTTGAAAGAAGAGGCTGTCAGGATGTCTAAACATTTCTTGATTTTAAAAAAAATGGCTCAATGTTTTAATGTTATCATTACTTATGTTCATCAAAATATTTAAATCCTAAATGCAAAAGTAAAATTAATTTTAAGTTTGTACCTATGTAGCCCATGTACATTTAAAAAAGTTATTTTACGTTAATATTTTCAAATGCACCAATTGTATTATGATAGATATAGAATCCATTAAATTTTTGAGTATAATTTATTCTTTCAGTATTTTTGATAAGATACATATTTATTAGTATGAGCTGTCACTTGATTGTAATTATTAAGAAAGAACAAATTTTATATGTCATCAATTTATACAATAATACAATAATTCCATACCCAAATTTATAAAATCTTGATGGTAAAATTAATTTTTATATGTTATTAGTTATTTATTAAAAAAATCTTAATGATTTTTTTTCTGTTTAAATCATTTTTTTTAAACTTAATATTTTAAACATATCAACCCTGGTTTTATACTTCATAAACATTCAAGAATATAAGATTTATAGGAATAAATTGAAAATAGTTTTAAACATTTGAAAGTAATAAAAACGTGAATTTTTTTCTTAACAGTCTGAAGATTGGTTAAATAATAGCTTATATTTCTCCATCTTCCATTATGTTCTTATTCCGGTATTTTCATTATTATTTATTTTTTGTTATTAAACTGACCTGTTTAACAAATAATAATTATATCTTGAGTATAATATCTACCTTTTTTTTTTTTACCTTTTTTGTAAAAATATACCTTTCAAATTTAAAATTATCAACATATGCTTAATTATTTAATTTTACTTTTGTATTCATTAAAGATGGTTCCAAACAATACAGCTAATACTAGCAATCAATTTCAACGGTTACCAACTACAACAGAATTTCTTGAAGAAGAACCATTATACGTAAATGCCAAACAATACAAAAGGATACTGAAAAGAAGACAAGCTAGAGCGAAATTGGAAGCTGAAGGAAAGATTCCTAAAACTCGACAAGTAAATATTTCAGTTTTTAAGTATCTTTTGAAGTATTTATATTATGTCAGTAACTAACTTAACAATTTTATTTTAGAAATATCTTTATGAATCACGTCATAAACATGCAATGAATCGTATACGAGGAGAAGGTGGCCGTTTCCATTCAGGATCTTTGAAGAGAATGAGTATGTCAAACAATAAAAATATGCAAAATGACAACTGTAATATAAGAATGGTTGACAATCATAGTTACCATGTTACTATTAAACGCCAAATTGATGATGAACAAAATCTGCAGTCGCACAACGGTTTGGTCTATAGCATAAGTGGCTAGTGAAATGGTAATTTTCTCAGTAAAACCTAAATGTTGTATATTGACTCTGTTAAATTTAATACAATTAAGTGTTCTGTTGATTAACTTTTAAGACTTAAAAAATTAGTATTCAAATTTTATTTATGTATACTTGTCAAGTTAAGAATCATTCTATATCGAATACACTTATGCTATAACACACCTTTTGATTGTTTGTAAGAGATAATTATTATTATTTTTTTACATATAAATAAAATATAATGTATCAAAGACAAATAGTTAATTTTTTAAGTGTAAATATAATTTATACTGTTTAAAAAAATGTTTCTATCATACCTATAACATTATCACCATGTTAAGTATATCTAAAATATAAAAATTATGGATAGTACAATGCATGCAAAATATATAATCATCTTCAACTATCCATAACAATTTATTACACATTTTCTTGCTACAATTTACTATGTTAATTTTATTAAAATGTTGTAAAGTCAGTTAGAGGCCAAATTCGACAAATAACTCGACCCTGTATTAATCCTTTTGGCACAGGGCCAAAATCCCAAGAATCACTTGAAGTTGCTTGATTGTCACCTTCCAACCATACTGATCCTCTTGGAACCTACAAAAATAATGTTTTAATTAAATTTAAAAAATGATATAATTTTTAATTAAAATGGACATAAATTACATTTTTTGCTCTAAAAAAGAATTCAATAAAAATAATTATATAATCTATTATATAAGAATAATATAATAAATATATTAAAAATATATTTAAATGTTCTTTGGTAATAATAAAATGAGAATTGAAATGTCGATAAAAAAATTGCATGTGATTGAAAATAGCATTTTATTCATTTACATAGTAAAAAAGTATACAAGAATTAGGAAAACATTAATACTGTCTATTTCCATAGATTTAGGGTTTTACTTTGGATTCTTTAAGTAATGATAGCATTTGTGCTGAATATTTATATTTATAGGATATTGTATACTAAGAAATAATTGCACATATACCATTGACATTTCAGATCCACAAATGAAAATAAATTAAAAATTAATAACTAGATAATGATAATCAAACAGATACAAGTAATATATTTTCAATAATATATAAATAACTATGAAACATTTAAATAATAATAGAAAGTACTGATTTTTGGAGTCGTTGTGAATTAAAACTAATATTAAAAAATAATTACTGTTACAAAATGTACGCCTCTTCTAACTACTTGTCCATCAACAGCTTTTACTCTTTTCAAAATGAATCGTTTATGTTCGTCAGGAGACTTGGAAACTACTAAATCTCCTTTATCAATATCATTGAAAACTTTTGAAAACCGACGAATAATTACTAAGTCACCAGATTGTATTGATGGCTCCATGGAATTACCTGAACACTAAAGAATTGAATGAAAATCACACATACATTCAAACACATAATACTGTATGTATTCAATAATAAAATTACTTACCAAAAATACATCTCCTACATGTTCTGTTATACAATGAGCGACACAAAAATATTTAAAGCATGTAAAAACGGTACTTCCAACTTTTTTAAGCATTGGTCATTTAACATAATTCCCCCACATGTCACGATATATGTGTAATAATTACAGCTATACAATAATGCATAAATCTTACATTTAAAATGTTAGAAATAAATTGAACACAATAATTTTTTTTGGACGCACTAGTAAGAAAATTAAAGAAAAAACATTAATTTGCCAGTATATTATATTTTTGATATTTTTTTTATCTATTATATTATCAAATTGAAAACGATAATACGCGGATATCACTTGAACATAACCGTTGTTATCATCTAGTATCACAGTTTCATGTAATCCGTGATATTATCATTAATATGGGGTGCTCAGATAGAGCGCTTCCACGTAGTGCACCCCGGGCAACGTCCTAGACGGCTAAAGCTCTATCAACTTTTGGCAATTGTACCTGTGGTTTCCCACCTCACGATATACAATGGACTCCCACCCTCATAGGTCGATGTCATACGAATAAAATAAATAAAATCATTAATAAAACTCTTGTTTTTGCTTCCTAACATTTTAAATTATTTAAATTTGTCAAATATATAAAGATTATTTTTACTATAATTATTATTATAGTACCTAAACACATATAATATTATCTAAAGTTATTATATTACTTTATATTACGGTCTACACTGGGCGTTTTTGATTATTCCAAAAATATAAATAATCACAATCACTTCCGCGATGTCCGACGGTCGCGATGGGTGATGGTTTTGAGTAATAATTATAGAAATCATTTTTAAGTCTTTTTACATAGATGTGTCATGTACAAATAGGGGAAGGCTAAGTTAAAATAAAAGCTCAATTTTTTTTTAGAGACAGCAAAATTTGATTTTGCCTAGTGCACTTTGTTTGCTTGAGCCGGCCCTACGTATGGGTCATGCTATGAAATTATAAATAATTCTCACCTCCCATGCATATTATGTAGGTAATATATGTTTATATACATAATAAATTGTTATTGTTCATAATTAATAATAAATGCTATATAAAACTATTTTAGAACCAATTTTTGCAAGTAAATATATAAATTAAATTTCTTATTTAGTTATTTATTTTATATTGAATGATAAAATTGTAGATTAGTTATTACTTATGATTAAGTACAGATTTTGTAAATTATCTAGATAAATTTATCTAGATGGCTATGATTTTTATCTAGATGAAAATTAGATGTCAATTTTATTTTTTATCTAGATAAATTTATCTAAAGCACAACACTGAACCTCTACTCATTCAATTTATTACTAACTTCTTCCAGATTTTCTCCTACCAAAACTATATCATCAACAAACATCATACACCATAGTATCTCGCACTGTATTTCTTTCGTAACTTCATTAACTTCCATTAATATTTATAAATGATTAATTTTTTCAGTTGATTTCACATTTATTATTTAGGATGATATGTCATAATATTTGATTCCGTTAAATGCATCGAATTCTCATTCTTTTAATTTATTTATTTATTAAAACTCTCATAAAATTTCTCTTTTTAAGAAGACATTTTAGTAAACTAAATAATAAAACTTTAATAAGGCGAACAAAAGAAGTCGAAAACCGATGGCACCGTACTGAAGTTTAAAATTATTATACGATATTAGTGCACACTTTTTATCATAATGTACAATTTATATTTTACTAAAACATTTTATCCACTCAAAAGTAAATAATGTAACAAATTACCTAGTTTAATGTACCACGGCTTAAAATAGTTTAAGATTAAATTAAATTTTAAACCGTGTAATGTACAAAATGAAAACTTAATAGTTTTACTTTATTCAATTGCCATGGTTAGGTAGTGGGTGGATTATCCGATTTTCGCACTCTACCCGTAACATATAGGTACATACTTGAATTATAATAAAATTAGTCGGTATACAAATACATATTATGCAAATTATACATAATTACATCTATGAAAATATTTAACATGATAAAGATTAAAATGACTCAGAGAAGAGGAGGTATGGCCTCTATAACCCTTCCTAAAAACCACCACTGTCTAAAATGTCTAAGTACCTAATTTATCTTATACAAATAGGTATCGATGATAAGCATTATACATTGACATGTATTTAATTTTAAAATGTCTAGTATTTGTACATTTTAATATATTATTTGGTTATTATTAAATATTTATGTATTAATCAACTCTTAATAACGAAATCTAAAATAATTTTAAATGCTTATAGTATTTTAACTGATAAATTAGTTGTATGTTGATTCTCAATTATTATTACCAATTGACATTCATTTTTTAATCAGAATTAAATCTTAATAATTTTTATTATTCAGTTAATAAATACTTTTTAGCAAATAGTTCAAATTAAAAATAATCGTTATTAAGTACTCCATCATCAAGACATATGTTATCAAATTATATATGTATATTACATACAATTTAAATCAGTTTTACTTCATATTTTAAATGTTTTTTATAATAAAAAAAAAAAAAAAAAAAAATTAAAAACTGAACAAAAATGAGTTTAACTCATTTGGGTTATAAAATGCTATAATTCAAGTTTGAAAATACAATCATGGGCGCTGCAAAAGGGTGCACTTGCAACCCCCTCAATTTTCCAAAAAAAAAGAATAAAATTTAAAAATGTAGAATAGAAGCTGATATTATCATTATTGAAGAATGAACTTACATTTTAAATGAAGCATTTTCATATTAGAGTACTTATCACCATCACCATTTAATATTTAACCTCATAAATTCGTGTTACTGATCCAAATTTACTTGTATTATGATAAAAGTAATATACGTAATTAATAATAATTTTTACTACAGTAGATATAATATGTTTGTATACTATTGTTTTATTAGTTAAAGACAATACTACAATAGTATATTAGTCTCATTTACATTATTAACTTACAACAAAATTATGATGTAGGTTAAAAGTGTTTGATGGGCGTTAGTGTGTAATTCAGTGCTATTGGCATAGGGTAACACCAACTTCTTTAAAAAGTGAATGCAGTTCAGTCAAAACTGAGACCTTCAGCCCATAAGCGTGTGCAGACATAACTGGCAGGGTAGTCAAACATAACACATTATCATTTAATATTAACAAAAAATTTGCATTCGTAACTTCATTTAACTTAATAACTATATTTCTCCAGTATTTTTACATTTTTTTTAACGTTAACTAATGTTTTGAAGTGGTTGAAAATAATATGTTTATTTATTATTGTGATCATATTGA